AAGGTGAGTGCAACAGCGATGGGGGTTTTTATTATTAATCATAACGTTACAGAGCTTTAATTATTAAGCTACTTCTAAAGGATTAACGTGTTTCATCAGTACCCCGCGCATACCAGTACCCCGCGCGCGTTCTCCGAGCGCCAGCACTTTTATGGCCATACTCATGACTACACACTCTCGAATTGATTGAAACAAGGTGTTAGTCTAGTCAACAGGCATTCCTGCTTCGAATCGGCACGTTCGTACGTTATGACCGGGCTTCCTGCACTTACGGCAGCGGCGAGTTGCCACTAAGCCATCACTGTTGATGCAATGATTTTCATCTGCAACTCGCCCTCGTTGTTCATTTGCCTCCTTTTGAGCTGAAATGAGTCTTGCACTCTTTGAAGCAAGCGCACTCCCGCGGTGGACACGGTGTTTCTTGGCCCTCCGGCGCTTGCTAAGGGCTTCGTTGGCCTTCTGAAGAGTGCGATTCTCCGCAGTCAACAGGGTCACTGAGTGGGCCATTGCCTCGAACCCCTTCGCCATCTGCCTGACAGCCGAGAAGATGGGTGTCGGGGAGCTATTTTGGTGTTCACTTATCTGAGACTTCACCAGCTCGGACTGTGAAATGGCTTCAGTGGGGTTGTGCGGTGTCTGCGAGACCCAGGGGTCGGCCTCGGCTGCTGGAGATCTCGCAGCCGTTGGGGTCCGCAACTTCACATCAAGTCGAGAGAGCACAGCTTGCGCGTCGAACGGGACGAGACCGGCCCCGCGGAAACCTCCAGCTATGTTTCTCTCAGTCATACAAGCTTTATACGCCGCACGAAATGCCAGAAAGAATTCGACTTTGGTGATGTGGTTGACGTGTGCGCGAACGAACGTCTCGATCTCTTTGCCGTAAGCTCTTTTGAGCGGGCTGAAGAGTCCGACGTCAAGCGGCTGAGTGATGTGCGAGGAATGAGGAGGGAGGCAGATAGGAACGATGTGGTGATCTTTACAATAAGCCTCGAATTCCACCGACTGGTGGCTCCCATGCCCGTCGAGCACTAGCATCCGATGAGTACCCTTCGTGCGCGCCCTGGTATGCTTGTCGAAGTGTTTGATCCAGTCTAGGCCTGTCTCGTCATCTGTCCACCCTTTTGGGGTAGGCTTGATGATCCAGGAGTCGGGGAGACCGCCTTCGGAGTACCAATTCGCCAGATGACAGGCGCCCTGTACGAGTAGAAACGGGGGTATGTCGGCGCCGTCGCCGCTGATGCAGGCGATCACAGTCGCCCACTCTCGATTGCCAGGCCGGATAGTCTTACCTTTGCCACGCCGATCAGAACGCGTGACAAGCATCGAAGGGCATATGACACCCATCATGAAGCCGGTCTCGTCGAAGTTATATAAATCACAGTCGAGAATGCCGAATTTGCTTCGCATGTTTGAGAACAGGCGGAACCACGCGCTCAGAAGGTCGGGATCCTCGCAAAGAGCTCGCTGGTAATCGTAGGTGCGCGGACAGCGCGTGCGGAGTTCTTCCCTTCGCTGAACGAAGCGATAGGGCCACTGTTTTCCGACACGTCGTGTGCCACGCGACGCGAGGATGCGATCCGCCATTACCCTCACATCTTCGAGCGAGGGAGGAAATCCTCGCGCGTCCAGGTCCAGTATATACTGCACTACCGCTGTCTCTTCGAGCGCGGTCAGAGCCTGGAGAGTGGGCCGATGTTCGGCGATCGGAGTCGCGCCGCTCATTCTGTCGCGCAGGGTCGTTTCGGGCACGTTGTAGAGCTTTGCAGCGCCACGGCGGCTCAGTCCGTCAGTTTTCTGGATCGCATCGATGGCCAAGATGACCCGTGCTTCGTTGTTTTGTTCCCGCATCATTGAGGTGTAACGATGTTGCCTGCTGAAGTTGCAGCATGGTATCGCTTCGGGAAAGCGCGCGGGGTATTGGTATGCGCGGGGTACTGATGAAACACGTTAAAGCTTCTTT